CTGCCACTCTTGTTTACATGTGTCATCAGATAAGTGGTGGTGGTTGTGCAACCAAATGGTTTGTAATGGTCTAAAATAACATGCTGCTACAACCAGGGTTCAACGAAAATATAATATATTAAACCTTAACAACAATTGGAATAAAATTTAGCACTTACCAAAAACACAGTTAATAAACATGTTCCTGGCTATGACTCAATACTAATGTTAATGAACAATAAATCATAAATATCAATATTAATTATTTTAAATAATAGAATTAGGAAAAAGAACCAGAAGAAAAAAAACCTAATTTGATAAAAAGCAACACAATATTTCAAAATTACCTGTCTATATTAATAACAATATCAAGTGACAAATATCAATAATTCACTATGTTGTTCACTAACTATCTCGTGACTCAGTTTATGAAGCTTATGGCAAGGTATTTATTCACTGCATTAGATCATGAGAGTACATCTCTTGTGATCATAAATGTATATAATCTTTTGCTACATTAATAATATCTGTACATCACTCCTAGGGAAGCTGGTGTCAATTTCATAATACATACACATTTACTCAAAATAAAGGTGATCAGCTAGAAAGTGAGTTAGCATTGTAACGTAACTAAAAATTTGAAGATAAACTAAATGATAGAAGGAATACTAAAGGAAGGATAAACAAAACCATAACCAAAAAATAGAATTCGTTATCTCACAGGTTACAACCTTATCTAAGTCACATGCTAGGTGTCTGCTCTCAAAGTCAGGCCTTATTGTGAAAAGTGGTTAGAAATGAAACTTTATTTTCATTTTGAAAATTATCATATAGTTAATGTCCTGACTTGCTCTGCATGAAATTTGAATGAATTTTGAATTGAATGTTTTAGTATTATATATATATGTGAACTGAAATTATGCAAAATAGTAAAATAACTTATGTTTGAATTAATGAAAGTGGCACTCCACCCCTACATGTGAAGTGAGAGGTTGGCTAACCCTTGCAACCCTACAGGACTACAACACTGCTCATTACTTTAGAATGATGTTTGAAAAACAGAAACATGAATGAGTGAATTCCATTGAATACTAACTAAAGTGAACATTATTAACAGATAACTAATATTAACAAGTTGAAGATTGAAAAAACTGGTTAAAAATATATAACATCACAAATTAAAATTGACCTTCTTAAAACTTAAAAGAATGTTATTTGTTAACATTGTAGTTTATTTAATATTTTTTCTTGAAATTATACTGTTAACTTTCAGCAAACTAGCAGTAAAATGACTTGTTTAGGGATTACTAGTTGAACAACTTGTAAAGACTTGTTGCTTTATTATATTAACTTTATTATATTCAAATGTTTTGGGTGTACATTAATCTGCTTAATATTCAAATGATATAGATCATAATTTGTTTTGTCAAAACAAAGAAATTGAATTTTTTTTTTGTGTATCTTAGCTTATTGTATGTAGCACTGTGGAAGAATTACATGAACATATTGAACCTAGTCAACTCACAGAAGATCTTGGGGGAACTATTTACTACAGTCATGATGAGTGGATTGAACAGAGAGTGGTGTGTAAATAGTTCTTTCCAATTTTAAAATTTGTTTTTTTTATGTTTACTTTCATTTTGTGAAGAAAAATAAAGAGTTAAAAAAACTATCATGCAACAGAGTTATGGAAGGTTTTACTCTTGAAATTTAAATCAGTTATACAAGTTCATTAGTCAAGACTTTTAGATTCATAATTCCCCCCTGAGAAATTGCTTATTGTAAAATTTAAGTATGCATGGTTACTCCTAACAAAAAAAGATAGACACTTATTACTACTACTACTGTACAAAAGATTCTTATTTCTTTCATTTGATTATTTATTTTGTACATACTTTATTTTTATTTTTTTTCAACAAAGTAAGTTTCAGAATTTTTGCTCTGTATATATAGGCACATTTACAAGATTTATTCAATAAGTGATTGGTGAGGGTCTAGTTGTGCAGAGTTGGGGGAAGTAAATGTTTTGTTCAAAGATTTTTTTTTGCTTAAAATATCAATCTTTTTTTGTAAGCAAGTCAATTGGTAATGAGCGTTTTTGTATACTAGTGAAAAATAATAAATGTTTTATCATTACAAAATGAAAAATAGTGATTTTATGCTTTTTTTATGAAAAAAAGTACAAAATAGAAAAATTTAAGAGCTTTTTCTAGAGTATGAAATCATAATCTTTAGATTAAGATTGAGTTGGTGCAAGAAACTTGCTCTGTACTTTGAATCTGTAGGTGTAATATAGGAGTGACTGTCAAATCCCACTATTCAATTAGACAAGAGTAGCCCAAGAGCTGGCAGCTGGGGCTGTTCACTAGCTGTCTCCATCTAATCCATCACTTCCAAATTAAAAACAGCTGTATGCAGACAGCTCTTATGTAGCTTTGTGGTAAAATTCTAAACAATCAAACAAGCTTAATGTTTAAGTTGTCTGTATATAGTAAGGTTACATTAATACAATTACACAACATATGGAAAGGAGCCCTCTTATGAAAACACTGTATACCATTTTTGTGTAGCAATGAAATGCTTGTTTCTACACAGTGTCTCAAAGGATTTAGTGAAGATAAAAACCTCTACCAAACTAGATGTACCTGTACATCTTATGAAATTATAGTTTCAAAAATTAGTTCAGCTGAATTATGATGAGATAAGACAGAGTTTTCTCCTTAATGAAAGGAAGGCGGACATTTATAATGTGTAACATACTTGCATAATAACTTCCAATCAGAATAAGCTATGTACTTTGAACAAAACTAAGAAATACACCTAGCTATCAGTGTAGCTAATTAAATATAATTTTCATGTTTCTATATATAAAGATTATAATGCATATTCAATATTATTATAATATGATGTGCCCAACTATAATTAGGTCAACTCATTTTTGTGCTAATTATTCCTACTATCAGAAATGCCACCGTATGGTCATCTGTTTGTCTAATCATAGTATTTATACCTCATTGACAAAAATTAAGAAAAAGTTAACAGTTTCTAAAAAAATGATTGTTTTTCTGGGAAGTACTGCATGGGAAAAGTGTTCAGATTGTGCTCTTTAGTCATACGCAACTCATTGCATCAAAATGATTCAATGTACAGAGCTCAAAATTTTCATAGATTTTACTGATATAAACTGTAATGTTTTTATATATTAAAAATGGTACTGTTTATTGAAAAAATAATAGTCATTTTAAGAACTCCAGTTTCTCAGTACTACATTTAAAAATTATATCAATAAAGATATAATCAAACCCTCACGTACAGTCCTAGTGAAAGTCGTGTTCTTGTTGTGAGAAGAGTACTTTTGTTTAGAATTGTGTTCTATTGTAAAGAAATGGTTGTTACACATACCACAGTTATTTTTCTAATTGTCTGAAGCTTGAATACCCAAAATGTGAAACTTTTTATGACTTTTTGTTTGTGGTGCCTTTCAATAGATTGTGCAGGAGTTTTTTTTTAAATTCCCAATCGGATCATATCTGTTGGATGTGAGTGTATAAATATCTTGTGTCTGAAAGAAATGTTACCAACCCTTCCCAAAATTAATCAAATTTTAGTGGCATCACACTACCTATGAAGTATCAAACAATGTCAAAATGTAGTTCTAATACATTCTATTCCACTAAGACTTTATTTTGGTTATGATTCTCATGTGATTTGTCAATTTGCACATTATTCTAATATGATGTACTCAACCCTAATTAGATTAACTTGCCCTTAGTTTTTTGTCACAGATAGCTATTTTAGCTCCCAGTAAAAAACAACAACAACAACTGAGTTTGAGGATCATAGTGATTTTTTTTTCTTTAAAAAGTAAATATAAATATGCTGTTAAATATCAAAAATAGTTTGTATTCAAAATTTCTTCGGTAATTTTTTTCTTCTACATCTTATTGGAAGCTATTCTTGAAACTTTAAATTTGAAGCAGAGCTTGTTTACACTTCTTGAAAAGTACTGAGTGTTTTGTTATAGTCACTGATAATAAGAAGATTGTGTAATTAAGTTATGTATTAAAAATTAACTTTTGTTTTAAGTCTATAGAAATGTGAAAGTTTGATTCCATATTAACAAATTATATTGCAACACATGACAATATAATGTCTCTTCTAGGCAGTGGAGAAGTTTTCAACTAGTTTGCAGGATATCTCCTTATCTCTTCGTGACATGACACGAAGATTACAGGACACAGAGCTGCCTAATGATGTCAGTTCCACTCTAAGTCTTTTGGAAAATCAAGGAAGGGAGTATAAAGAACTGAAGGATGACTTACAAAGTGCAGCAAGGCATGGAGAGACCTTATTGAACTATATAAAACGACAATTTAGTGAAGCTGGTTCTTTAGACATGTGCTCTGATAAACTTATAAATGTTACTGCAGTAGAAAGGTAATTAAGTAAAAAAAAAATTATAAAAGTTACTTTAGATACAAAAGTACATAATTTACTTAGTATTAGATTTAGCTAGGAAATGATTAGTGCATGTAATTTAGACTGTACTACTCACGGGCAAAATTAATTTTATGATTATATATATACGATATTTATTACATTATCACACACTAAATTTTTAATTTGTATTGTTAACTTTACAATGCATTAGAAGAATCATATTGTTACGTTTCCATTCGTTAGTTAACTTTCCGTAAAATCGTTCC